AACGAGCAATATCAAGAGGTAAACTAATACTATTAGATAACCAAAAAAACTTTAACCATGTTTAAGACCTCAATAAAGATTTTCAGCCTTAACCATGTTTAAGACCTCAATAAAGATTTTCAACCTTAACCCTGTTTAAGACCTCAATAAAGATAAAACACTTAACCATGTTTACGACCTCAACCTTAACTATGTTTAAAACCTCAATAAAGATTTTCAGCCTTAACCATGTTTAAGATCTCAATAAAGATTTTCAACCTTAACCATGTTTAAGACCTCAATAAAGATAAAACACTTTAATTGTAAACCACAAAGTTAGAACAGTGAGTAAAAAACACTTTAATTACTTTACCTTTCTCGTTCATTTTTACTTCTTCCTTTATCAAGGGAGGAACGCAGATTTGCTCGCAATGCAGCGAGTAGACGTGAACCTTGATTCACCGGATGCCAAAGAAAGCGTTATGGAACTTCCTAATATGGACTTCGATACGCTTGTGCTTGCAACCAATCATTTCTCGGATTCCACTAAGCTCGGCGAAGGCGGATTTGGTAGCGTTCACAAGGTAAGAATAATAATATTTTCACTTGTAAAAAACTTCATTTGACTTGTCTTACAAGTATGTGATAATTAATTAACAGGGGAGGTTACTTGAGACGGGAAAGAAATTGCGGTAAAGAGACTGACACAGATGACAGTTGAAGGGAAGACTCAATTTAGGAACGAGGTGGAGTTAATAGGGAAACTCCAACACAAAAATCTCGTACGCCTTCTAGGTTACTGCCACAACTCCCAAGAGCATATCTTGATATACGAGTATTTGGAAAACCTAAGCCTCGCTTCTTATCTCTTCGGTGGTTAGTGTCAGTTATTATATCAAGTTGACTATACTGTATATTGTCTCTTTTCACAAAAGTGAGTTAATACTAATAATCATGAATTTCTTTGATCAAAATTCCTAGACACAACACAACGTTGTAAGCTAAACTGTCAGAAAAGACTCGAAATCACCAAAGGAATTGCAAGAGGGTTACAATATCTCCATGCCGACTCACGGTTTAGGATAATCCACAGAGATATGAAGGCAAGCAACATCTTGCTTGATAAGGAGATGATTCCGAAAATCTCAGATTTCGGTTTGGCCAGGCTTATTGGAAACGACGAGACTGGTGACAAGACAAAGAACGTCGTTGGAACTTGGTATGTACTAAAAACTCGAACCAAAATTCATTTTTTACTCAAACCTCTTGTCTTGTTGACTTTAGTTTTTGGTTACCCCAGGGGCTACATGTCACCAGAATATCTCATTGACGGGATATTCTCGACCAAATCTGATGTCTTCAGCTTTGGTGTATTGCTTCTTGAGTTATTGAGTGGTAAGAGGAACTCGAGATTCCAAAATTCCTACGGAGACAGCAGTCTTCTAACCTGTGTAAGCTAAATCCTGTTAAGTTTAGTTTCGTTAACTATATATAATCAAGAATATTTCAATAATTGGATATTCATTTCTCAGGTATGGAGGAACCGTGAAGAAAGAAGCTTGATGGAGATAGTAGATTCCTGCATCGCAGATTGGTCATCTCACACACAACAAGTTTTAAGGTTTTTCCAAATAGGCCTCTTGTGTGTTCAAGAGCATGGTGAGGATAGACCAACTATGCAGTCAGTAGTTGTAATGCTCGAAAGCGAATCAGCGATTCCTCAGCCTAAACCGCCTGGTTACAGCAATCACTTAACTGGAAGACGACGTCATTTTGAGACCGGAAGTTCTTCATCGAGTGGTCAGACAACCGACAACACTTGGAACGATGTTACAATGTCGCTCGTCGAACCTCGCTAATATGAGTGAGTGGCCACTACAGCTTTATAAAACAAGACCCATGGTAAGAGTTTGTGTGTGTTGGTTTGCTCTTTGTATTACAATCTGTCGTCTCTTTGAAAAATACGTAATATGGTCATGTAATAATCATTGAAACTTGAGCATATCACATCTTTAAAACTTTGGCTCTGCATATATGCTTGTCTGATATTTTTTTACCTTATGATCATCACTGGAATTGCTAGATAATTCACCAATTTCACTCGCATGTAAAAGTGCTATATTGTATTGCCGGGATGATTACATATATAGGTACTTTATGGTAGATTGTTTACACTTTAAGAACATCCGTATTGGTGAATTTTGGTAGGTATCATTAAATATAAAATTATTAAAATTTGAGTAAAAGGAAGAAAGAGAGTGTTTTTGGTTGAAATAATGGGGTGTATTGAAATATAAAATTAATAAATTTGAGTAAAGAGAAGAGATAGTGGGTATTTTTGGAGAGAGAGAGTATCAAAAGTATCAAATAGTTGATACTTTTGAAGAGAGAAAGAGTGTGTTTTTAATAATTTTATATTTAAAGAGAGTATAAAATTAATAAAAGTTGAGTAAAAAGATGAAAAAGAAAGTATAAAGTTAAGTAAAAAGAAGAGAGAGTGTATTTTTAATAATTTTATATTTAATGATACCCTCAAAAGTTCATGGATACGGATGCTCTAAGTTGTCTATTGTATCCTTCTAATAAAAAGCCTAGTTACAAAATCTGGTTAAAACATAACTTGATTTTTGTTTTATCTTTAAAGTAAATAGAGAATTAGTTTTTTACAAAAAAAACTTTAAAACAAATCGAGACCTTTCAATATTACATATCTTGGAAAAATCCTAGAGTTTACAGATCTGGTAAAAAATCTCCAATTTCATCGGAGAAGATCAAGAGTCTCCGTCGCGAGTTCGACTTGCCGGTGGTGGTTGATTTGGGCCTTTCCAGACCGAGGAGAGTAAGGGACTCCGTCACGCAACTGGAACCGTCGAATCCGACAACCGACATGTCAGGTACGAAGGAGTTTCGGTCGAATGTCACCTTCCTGTTATTGGGGGTTTTGAAAAGGATGATTTTTGCAGTATGAAAATTGATATCGCCGAGGAAGATAAGCTTCTGATTCTCTGATCCATCCACCACCTCGTGAATTTATATTAGTTGCAAAATCCAGGGTTGTGTGCTTCGCTTTCCCTCTCATCATCATTTATGATCTTATGCAAAGTAGAATCAACACAATCTCTCATTATTATTCAAAAATTTAGTTTTTTTTTGTTTGCAATTGGTCTTTTGGCTGGATCCCTACCATGAAAAACGTGTTTTGGTTTTTGTCTAGGAAAAACATTATCTTATTCTATTATGTTCCTTGTTTTCTCTATGGTGTTAATCTTGATCTCTCACATGAGATATTTGATTAAATTTGGAGTTAAAAGTGTTTTCGTGTTGATAGCTATAGATAAATTGTGTTTGTTTTATGTGCTTTTTGCTAGTTGGATTCAAAAGATTATGGCTTTGAAGTTTCTGAGGTTGGTGAAGAAGAAAGTGATGCAAAGGAAGCATTTGGTTTTGGCATGTGGATTGGTGTTTTCCGAGGAGAAGAATTGGCTTGAAGATCCTGAATGGAGGATCTCTAGCTGATGACGCTCGATCGAAGAACCATTCGAGCTTGGTCAGATATGAAGCATTTGGTTTGGAACCTTCTCATGGAACGGATTGATGGACAGAAGTTCTTACGGCCATGATGGCGTGGATATGGTTTTGTGGACATGATTCCGTGGATACGGTTTGATGTACATTAGTTCGGTCGGGCATGACATCGTGGATACGGTTTGATGGACATAAATCTCATGGATAAGAATTGATATTAGAAGTTGATCAAATGCTTAGAGTTTAGACGGAGAATAGTCATCAGCATCCAGGTTCAGTAATAGCTCGGAAACGAGAAAAATATATTTTGCCACAATTTCTTAAGGTTTCTTTTGCACAGTTTCCAGTTATAATATATTTCTTATATATAACCAAACAAGTTTATACTATGTTGTACAAAATATTCCATTCTTATGATTTAGATATCCATTAAGTTTTGTGGTTTGGGTTTAACTCTATCTTATTATATATGGTCGCTATGCCTATATGTCGATTTCAAAATCAATTGTTTTTTTTGAATTTTTCAATTTGGATTCGTATTTTGGTAGTTCGGTTTTGTCCACTATATTTCATCCACGGAAACATATCCACCCTTAGTGATTCTATAAAAAACTTAAAAGAAGATTGACTTTTCCAAACTTGTACTAAGCTTTTATGTTTTCTTGTATTTGTTGCATTGATCCTTTAACTTGCGTTAGTTTCTTAGATTTTTACTCTTTTGCTCACTTGTTAGCAAAAGAGAACCAATTTCAAAATCCAAGCTTTCGCTCTCATTGGATTATTAAAAATAGTTTGTTGGTTTTTTCTCTTACAAGTCCCTTATATGCAACTTAGAGAGAACAATGACTCATTTTTAGGGGTCACCGAGATTGGTTATTGTGTAGGTGAAAAACAACAATCAATTGTTTTGTTGGGCATGTCAAGTTAAAACGTTATTGAGTACATGTCCACGGTTAGTTCTCCACTAAAAACACTAACTATATAAACATCGACCATGAACATCTAACTATGAAAAACTGACCATAAATCACTCATTTCATTAACCATAAAACACTAACTATATAAACATCGACCATGAATCATCCATTACAAAGACACCTTGGCGTTAACCAACAAAACCTAGCCAAAAAAATACTGACAACATGGATTAGCTATTTGAAAGATACAAAATCATCAAATTTGGTCAAAGTTTATAAACGGTAAAGACTAAGAAAACCAAGTATTATCATGATTCAAGTATTCATAAACTGAATACTTGTCAAATCTGTGTTCAAATGTCAAATCTGTGTTCACATTTCAATTCTGTGTCCATAGTTATTCGTCCACAACTATCTATCCATGAATATATAGCCACATTGGCTTGACCATGTGAAAAGACTTTATAGTGATTGTGGCTTGAATGCTCAAGCATTCTAGTGGAGAAACTCGAAATTAATGCATCAAATCCACCAGGGCCAGTGGATTCAAGGTCGAGATTCAAACCAAGAGCACAAAGATTTTCTCCAGCAGCATCAAGTCCAATCTGATCAGTACCAATCTGGAAAAAAAAATCTATGAACTAATCTCGAATTTAAAACAAACATATTCCGATTCGAATCGAAAAAGCAAATAAAAAAAATAGATCGAGAAGAACATATACCATTCCACGACGACCCAGCTCTTTACCAAATCATTCTGATTACTCCTCATTATTAGCAATTCATGAATCCTAATTTACAGGAGAAAAAACATTATACATACATCATTGAATCGATTAAACAACATCCATGAGAAAAGAGGTACCTGCGCAGAGATGGCATAAACGAATATGGTGGCGACGAGAAGCAGGCGGGTGATGAAACTCGTACCCATGAGTGGATGCGAGATATGTTTCAGAGAGGAAGAAGATGAACCCGTCTCAATTCCAATACAACCGAAATGGTTTTGAAATTGAAGGTTTTAGACGAGTCCATTCTTAGCCATCACGACAAAAGGATGAGAGAGATAGACTGGATGTATCTGGGATAGAAGAAATCGCGACATGATTCACCGGAGAAGACGAATGATTCGCGTTTTGTTTAACAAAGAAGAAGATAAAAAAGGTAAAAGAAGACATCGTTTATAATCACACAAACTCTCCATTTGATCTGAGCCGTTTATTTTTAATGAACTCTCCAGACGGTTGAGATCGTAACAGAAGCATCCACTAACCATAAACATCTTTTATATGAACCGTCAGATTTTTATAAAAATGGAGGGTGGAGATTGACCAATATCCAACAAAAAAAATATATCTCTACTCCTTCCCTTAAAAAAATATATCTCTACTCCGTCCGAAAATGCCTCGTTTTTCCCCCAAAGTCCCCCTTCTTTGCAAATTATCTTTAATTGTAAAAGGTTTCATAGAAAGTACCTTCTACTGTAATTATCTATAAAAATGAATATATCACATCTCAACTTCTTTAGCCTAAAATTATATTTAGAAATTTTAAAAAATACCATTTTTTAAGTGTCACTTTACAAAAATGACATACTTTTGAAATTTTTACAAAAATACCATTTTTTCAAAATTATTTTTTTTATATTATTTATGTTTGGGTTAGTTATGTTCTATTATGGTTTAGTTTTGAGTGTTTAGAAGCTTTTAGGTGTTAAAACATTTTTTAGAGTTTAGAATTTTAAGATATAGGTTTTATAAATTTATAATTAGTGATATTTTTGTAAATGGACACTCCTAAATAATATCCTTATAAATAAACACTAAAAAAATGACATTTTTGTAATTGTCCCAATTATATCAATGCTTCACAATCATAATTTTTGCAAATGCGACATAGCAAACAAATAATTTTTTTTTTTTTTGATAAGGCATAGCAAACAAATATTAAAATTCCGTTTTGAAAAGATTAGAGAACACGATAGAACTTTGACTTGTCATACATACATCACCTTATATACC